CTTCCCGCCGAGCAGGGAGCCCGACACGGGGCTCGATCCCAGGACCCTGGGATCATGACCTGAGCCGAAGGCAGACGCTTAACGACTGAGCCACCTAGGCGCCCCTGTATTTCCTTTTTTGTCTGTCCGTTCACGTCCATTGCCTGTTTGTATTTTGAGTCTGACATTTTTCCTGCCTGTTTTTATGAGTTTTTATATAGTAAGACTATGAATATTTTTGTTACTTATTATCAGCATTTTCTGTTGATAAATATCTTCCTTATATTGTCTTTTTTTAATTTTATTTTTAGATTCATCATTTTTTGGATTTTGTGAAACAGATTTACAAGGAGCTTCCAAAAGTAGTGGTATGTTTTTAATATTGTTTGACTCCGTTATTTATATTCATTTATTACTTCTTCATTCTAAAGGGAATTTGGAATAGTTGGGTTGAAGGAATAATTGGGGGGTGGGGGGATGCTGATTTTAGAATGAGGAGTGGTTAGTGGTGGTCAGAATGTAGATTGATAAATCAGCTGTTTGAAAGAAGAATTCTCTTGCTTTCACAGTTTAAATACATTATTTTTGACATAAAAACAGTAATATATTTTTATTTTAGAAATTTGCAAAAAAAAAAAAACCAACAAAAACCCAAGGCGAGTCATCCATAATTTTTTCACTTGTAAGCAACCACTGATGTTGAGGATTTTTTGTTTGTTTTTTCTTCACATTTTTCCTGCTTTTTGAAGATGGTTGCACTCCTATTGCCTTTTTTGGGCAGGGGTGTACACTTTCAGCCTCCTTTTCAGTATCATTAAAATTCTTTCCTATATCGAAAGAAGTTTTTCTGAGTGGTGTCAGCAGCGTGTGGAAGTGTGTGTTGTGCATGAGAGTGGGCTCCTCCCCACCTTAGCTTCGCCTAGTAGATGGTGCCACTGGGACCAGTTTGGAATGGTCTCTTAAAACGCTTCTGCCGGCAGTCATAGTCCTTAGTGGCCCCATAAACTTCCTGTCCTATGCGTGTACCTGGACTGTCTCCTTGATGCGGCTCTTCCCAGTTTTCCGTTCCTAACTATCACAAGTAATCACAAGAAGTGGTAAAAATCATTCTGCGTGAATGTGTTCATATGTCAGAGTTTTTATTCTAAAGATTTTTTTTTTAAGCTTTAAAAACAATTTTTAAAAATTATCAAGGTAAAATGGACTCCTTATGGTATTTTGAGGATTTTAACCTAAGAATGTATAAAACTTAAAACTTAATTGAGTTCTGGTTACCAAGTCTTGTCACCTGTCACTTCAGTCAGAAAAGCTGCTTTTTATAAGAAGTGGTTTTATTTCATGGAAAGCCCAAATTGCACTGAGGACTAAGGATGGCAACGAGGCCCTGGCATTTTAAAAATGTCTGTCCTTTGCTTCGGTTCCTGCCTTTGATCTCTGTGGAGGAGACTGTTTGCAAAGTGGATTCGGTGGAGACCAGCTCCTCGGTTCCTACCACTAGAGGGATGGGCCACATTCTCTCTGCCTGCTGAGGTAGTAATATATTATGCCATGCACTTCATCTTTTACCAGCCAGGAAAAAAAGGTAGAAGGCATTTTGGGCAAGTTTTTGTCTTCCGTTGTTGGAGGTGGAGAATGTTGTCGCTGTCATGTTATCTTGGTCCGTAAAAGGACCCCAAATTGTATGGCATCAGTGCGACAGAGACGTGTACGACACTGGGTTTCGTCCACCACAGGTCAGGTGTGTTTCACTGAGGAATAGCGTGTCTGACTTGAGGAAGAATGATTTGTGCTCTTTTTATGCAGAACCGCTACTTTGAGAACCCTCAGGTGATCCCCGAGAACACAGTCCCTCCCCCCGAAATGGTTGGTATGATCACCACAATTGCTGTGAAAGTCAATCCAGAGCGTGAGGACAGTGAGACAAGAACAGTAAGTTTTTTCCAGTTTTGTTTTGTTTTGTTTTTATCCCTGTCTTCTGTACTGGGTAGAGAGATACTGACTTTTTATGCATATTTTTAGCGTATTGGGGGGGTTTCTCCTCTAAGCACTGGAGGCAGTTAAGATAGCACACGTGTGTGTGCCTGAGAGCGCATCACTGATTCTCTGGGCAGCTTTGAAGTGCTGAACGAGACTGTTGCTCACCACGGATGCAGAGATCACATGATCAAACCGTAGTGGAAATCCAGAATCACCTGTTGGAAAGACAGCTGCCCAGGCTACGGGGCCTCTGCTCCATCCTTAGCTTTGACATTAACGAGGTCTCTTTAAGCTACCTAGAAATTTCTAGCCCAGGACCTGAGAGCGTAGGCCCTGGGCACAGAAGCTTGGGGACGATGTTCCAGCCCCACCGCTTGGGCTTTCTAACTGTAGCAAAGCACATAATTTTGGTTCTGGCCCTAATTTTCTCTCTCATTATCTGAAAAACGTGCCTTGTGTAATTTTGTGAAGGGAATGCTGGTGTTGTCTGCAGGCAATGTGTCGTATTTGAAGTATCCGGCACACCGGTACTCTGTAGGGAGCAGTTACAACAACTGTGTTTTCAGGATTGAATTAAGAATTTCATCTGTATTTGTTTTACTGCAGTCATTTTGCAGTAAATGTTGCAGTAAAAGTTTCAGTCTGTGCTAGGCTAAACAGGAATCTACATTTTGAATGAAGCTTTCATTCCTTTTCTCTTCCTGAATCAGACTTTTTTTCAGTTTCAGTCTTTGTGTTTCTTCTCTTCTCTGCTCCTGTCTGTTGTCCTTCGCTCTCTGAGTCTGATATTTCCCTTACCTGCACTGGGAGTTCTTATATATTTAGACTATTACATTTTTTGTTATATTTATCATAAGCGTTCTTTCTTTACAAATATTTTTGAGTAACACTGGGTAAATTTGTACTTTTTGCTGTTATTTTGAGTTAGTTAATAGGTACCAATTTAAAATTTCCTCAAGTGATTTGAATGTCTAAGTTTTGACAAATTTTCCTGATGTTTTTGCTGGGGGTGATGGCGTTGGAAAATATAAAAACCCTTATATTAAATGGTAGTTCTTTGTGCTTTATTTTCAAAAATAGTTTGCTCTTTCACCACACGTACTTTCTCTTCATTTTGCTGGGGCGATGCTTAGTAGTGGGCTATGTTACGTGCCACGGTGATAACCATGGTCCTGCTTGCTTCTCTCTTACAGCATTCCATCATTCCAAGAGGATCTCTTTCTCTGAAAGTGTTGGCAGAATTGCCCATTATTGTTGTTCTGATGTATCAGGTATGCATATTGCTTACTAGTGTCTCTTGGGTTTGGGGCTTCTTGTAGGATGACAGAGTTTTCTTTGGCCAGTGGAAGATGCGTGGGATGCACACATGCTAACTAATGTAGTGAATCTTAGAGGTTTTTGGTATGCCACATTATTTTGCCATAGCAGAGTGTAAGAGCATGAAAATCTGGTATGTTTGCTTTTAGCTCTACAAACTGAACATCCACAATGTTGTTGCTGAGTTTGTGCCCTTGATCATGAATACCATTGCCATTCAGGTATCTGCACAAGCCAGGTGAGGTTTCTTCGGACAGTGATATGGCTGACTGCCACAGTTCTATAATTCCAAGTAAAAATATACTGGCTGTCGTCTTTTGTAAGACGTGAAAATTTTGAGTGATAAAATTTTGGTAAAATGATATGCACTTTTGACTTTTTGAACTTGTACTTCAATAATGATGTGAATAGTTCTATCAGTTCCTTATTTTGAAAAGATGAGCTAATATCTTGGGTTTGGGTGTCTTGTGAATTTAGAATTATCATTAGGTGTTACTGTGCTCACTCCCAGCTGTGGGATAAGCAAGCCTTTCCACCTTCAAGCCCCATTCATGCTGTGTCTTTCAGCATGAGTGCTAGAATGTTCTATACCCCTTGTTCCCTCTCACCTGTCACCCTTTGTCACTGAACATGTGAACCGTGCATATTTATCTTTTGAAGCCCCATTGAAGCTTTTTCCTCAAACTTAGCAGCATTCTCTTAAGACCTCTGTCACTCACTCTCTTGACTGTAGCCCATCTGGCTCTGAGTCATTGGAGGGCAAGATCTGAGGGTGAATCAGCTGTAACAGCCCTTGGTGGCCCTAACTAGGGTCTTTCACGGAGCAGTCAGTCTCCTGATAGAGTCTGCTGGCTGAGTGGATCAGTCTGGCCTGGGCTCTGGGATGCACGTTGGAGCTGCTCTGGAATGGCTTGGAGAACTGCTTGCTTCATGCCTTTAAACCCTTGTGTTATTTGGAACTGCACACAAATGTAGAATATTTACGGTTGGTGCTGCGTTCTGGTCTGTGTAGAAATCACATTTTTAGTAATTTCAAATCACAAATTTAGAAATCACAATTTTAGTAATTCCTGTAAGCTTTGATGAATATTAACATCACCTAAAGAGTTGAGCTAATATTGTAAATTCTGTTCACTTCTCATTCAGGCAACATAAGCTTTACAACAAGGAGTTGTATGCTGACTTTATTGCTGCTCAGATTAAAACATTGTCATTTTTAGCTTATATCATCAGAATTTATCAGGTAAGTTCATTGACTTTTAGGTCAAGTTTACTGAGATACAATTTACATGCAATAAAATTCACCTTTTGTAGGTACTCAGTTCTATGAATTGACAGATGCATGCAGTTAGTAACTGCCAACACAATGAAATAGCATTTCAAAATTTCTTTTATACGTTTACAGTCCATTTTCTCCCTAGTCCCTGGCAAACACTTGTTTTTTGGCACCTAGTTTTGCCCTTTCCAGAATGTCGAACAAATGAATCCCATAGTTGGGTAGTGTATGTAACCTTTTGAGTGTCACTTCTTTCACTTAGCAGTAGCGCTGAGATTTAGTCTTACTATTTTATTTTTACTGGTGGTTAACTGTCTTAGTCTGCTTAGGCTCCCTCACAAAATACCATAGTGGATGGCTCAAACAACAAAAACTTACCAAGATCGAGGTTCTAGCAAGTTTCTGGCAAGGACTCCGCCTTCTTGCTGTGTCCTCACATGGGGTGGTGGGGGGGGAGGAATGAGATGCAGACATTACTGTTTCTCTTCTAAGGCCACAATCCATTGGATTAAGGCCCCATACTTAAGACCTCATTTAACCTTAATTACTTCCTAAAGACTCTGGTTTCTGGGTACAGTCACAATGGGGGTGAGGGCTTCAGCATGAATTTGGGGCGCGGGGGGGACACACTGTCATCTGTAGCTGCAGTACCCCCCTGTATGGATGCACCGGGCTGTGTTTATCCATTCACCAGTTGCTGAACATTTGGGTTGTTTCTAATTTTTTTTTTTAAGCAACTTTATCATAATATAATTTACATATAATTCACATATTAATTGTACACTTTTAAAGTGTACAGTTAAGGGGTTTTTAGTTTATTCAAGGCTTTATACAACTGTCACCACCATCTAATTTTAGAACTGTGTCACCCTAAAAAGAATCCCCATCCTGATGACCATCGACATTCATTTTCCTATGGTCCCCAGCCCCTGATAGCCACCCATGTCCTTTCGATCGGTAGATATGCCGATTGCATTTCTGGACATTGTTAATAAGTCCATCGTAAATAAACCCTGGCACCCAGATTTTCATATGGATGTATTTGGTGCATCGACTTCCGCTGCTGTTGAAAGTTGTGTGTTACAGCAAGTTTTGAGGAGAGATTGGAACTTTAAAAAATGGCATCATTCATAAGCCAGTGATAGAAGAGTTTGGGATGCTCTTTTGAGGAGCCTGAAGAGTGATTTTGTTTCTGTTCTTCCGCACTCATAGTTGTAGTCTGTCCTGATTTCAGTCCTGAGAAGAACTTGGGAGGAAAGAAATGACACCTTATTTCCCATTAGTCATACAATGTTTTTGAGTAAAATTCTGGTGTAGTTACAGTTATGTATAGCAGTGGAATTATATTACAGTTTTTTTTGTTTTTGTTTTTTAAGGAAAAAACTTAATTTTCAGGAAAGTAAAAACGAAAACACGTTGCCAAATTGTGTAAAAACTACCTTTGAAAGCATTTGTAACTCTCTTTGTCCCTTTTTAAGGGCATTTGTCTAGATAATGATAATTTGCACTGAGAATATGGAACTTTTGGTTTTAAAAATCTGAATTAGGAGGGGCGCCTGGGTGGCTCAGTCGGTTAAGCAGCTGCCTTCGGCTCAGGTCATGATCCCAGGCTCCTGGGATCGAGCACCGGAACCGGGCTCCCTGCTCAGCAGAGAGCCTGCTTCTCCCTTTCCCTCTGCCTGCCGCTCTGCCTACTTGTGCTATCTCTCTGTCAAATAAATAAAGTTTAAAAAAATCTTTAAAAAAAAAAAATCTGAATTAGGTACCCCTGGATATTTTAGTCAGCTTGAGCTATCTTAATACTATCTTCATACTCCTCAGAAGGAAACTGATGAGAGCTTATTCTGAGTTAAGGAAAGATTCTGTCTCTTTCGTGTCATTCGCAACATACATTAGTGGGACAACTGAGTAGATTATGTTCTATGAAATTTTCTTTTTTTTTTTTAGTTTTATTTATTTGAGAGAGAGAGACACAGCGAGAGAGGGAACACAAGCAGGGGGAGTGGGAGAGAGAGAAGCAGGCTCCCGCTGAGCGGGAAGCCCGACCCGGGGCTCGATCCCAGGACCCTGGGATCATGACCTGAGCCAAAGGCAGACACTTAACGACTGAGCCAGCCAGGCGCTCTCTATGAAATTTTCAATATTCTCTCTCCTCCCCACCAATAATAAGTGATTCATATTCATTATTAGAAGTTGGGAAAATACAGAGAAGTCCAAAAAAGTCATCCATAATCCCATTGTGTAAAAGAAACTTCTACTTAACATTGCTGTACATCCTTCCACTGTGGTAGTGATCGCACGAACTATTAAAGCTTTCTGGATAATAATTATTTATTAGGATGATTGCTTTTGAGGGTCCTTTGAGCCACACTTAGTCTTACTGAACTTTTTTGAAGTTTATAAAATTGGGGTTTTTCTTACCCTCCCCCTCCCCCCCAGTCTATATCAATGTAACCGTTGTTTTCCTCCTCATTTTTACAGGAGTTGGTGACTAAGTACTCTCAGCAGATGGTAAAAGGAATGTTACAGTTACTTTCAAATTGCCCTGCGGAGACTGCACACCTCAGAAAGGAGCTTCTGATCGCTGCAAAGCATATCCTCACCACAGAGCTAAGAAACCGTACGTCCACCTTACCTTGCAATGCTTGTGTGGACCTCTCTGCCTATGGGACTGCGGACATCCCATTGTTGGGCTGAGTCTTTAGTTCACTCGGGTGTTTCAGGCTCCATGTGTCCTTTCTCTACTGCTATCTTGGGTTTACTCTTTCCCCTTCTTCCTCCCTCGTTGCCTCCGCGCTCTTGGTCTGCCTCTCTTCTTTGCCTGCCACCAGGGTTCTCCCTGTATCTTCCCAACAGCCTCATAATTAATGTGATCATTTCCTTAGCATATTGCATGTCCTCAGCATCTCATGGTACTTCTGTGCCTTTTGGCTGCATATCTTTTGAAAATGCAAGGAGCTGTTTGCTTATTAACTCTCAGCTAACAAACTTTAGGAAGTGAGAAGAAAACAGTGTTTTCTTTCTCCATACTGTGAAAATGGTGGATGGGTCCTCTTTTTATGCACAAGATTATTACTTGCTTTTTGCTAATCTGATAATTTTACTTTTCTGTCAACTATTGATATATAATTTAAAATTAATATATCAATTATTGATATATAGTTTAAAATTATTAATATATAATTTAAAAATATTTATATTTGTATTTGCTATGTCTAAATCGTTATGTTGAAGTTAATCCTAATTGTTTTGAGATGGTAATCCTTTTCCCCCAGTAAGGATTCAATATTCAATGTTTTATTTGCCTGACTTGTAAATTGGAGTGTACATAAAACTAAGATTGGGCTTTTTTTTTTTTTTTTT